GGCGCCAAAGCCTTTGGGATTTGCCCAGCTCTGGTTTTCCTGCTTAGGCCATTAAATAAATACGCAGTAGGGTTCACTCATTACAAGACAGAAAGCCTGAGAGGAACACAGGTTTAGAGCATCCTTTGTACAGTCCGCATCCCAGTGGGCTCAAAGCAGTAAGTCTTTGCCAGATCAGGGCCTTCGATACTATATATTGATTAGTGAGACAAAAAACAGAGAGAGAGAGACGGACAGACAAGGGGCACCATTGTAAGTGTGACATCTTCCTTGTATTCCTTAGAAGGCCAATGGCCAGGCCAAGCTGACCACACTTTGACTGAGGGCAACAGCCAGTGCTAAGGTGGGCAAGGAGCTTACCAGGCCACAGAAGAGCCCTGCAAACTCCCAGGGACAGACGCCGTTCTGCCCCTCACAAGTACGCTGCCTTTGTGGTATGTGAGTACTGAGCTGGCTGGCCACGAAGCCTGGGGTAAGTTAAAGCAGCTCTAACTTACAGCAGCCTTCAGCCCGGCTGCCCCACTTCCCAGAATCTCCATGGTGCTCCTCTTCCCACCCCGACACATCCCCACCTGTGACAGGAGCAGCATAAGGACATGTAGGTGAATCCTCCTCCGCAAGGGTCAGGCCCCCGTCTGCTGCCCGTGCATTGCCAGAGCCGTATACAAGGGCCAGGGTGGGGGCCAGAGCTGGGCCGGGCGGCTCTCCTCTCTCAGTGCGTGTCAAGATGCAGCACTCAGCCTAGAAAGGACACCACAGGCCATTACGTCCAAAACAACAGCCTGTGCCATCTTTCACTCATTTGTTTCTGGGAAAACCCATTCAGGTCTGGGGGAAAACACAAACTTAAGGCCAGAAAGCAAAAAACATCCCCAAAACAGCACGTCCATCTCCATCGCCTCCACCCCAGGGGCACAGGTTTAGAAATAAAACCCTATTTCCAGGGGGAGCAATAGCCACATTTGGGATCAGTTTTCCATTTAGCTGATAGTTTGGGGGGAATGTTTTCTGCAGTGACAGAAACTGCATTCCCAGCAAGCCTCTGAACAGAGAGAGGGGAAGGTCCTGGACTGCAGCCCGCTCTGCACTGGGTAGTTTCTGAGGGCCTGGCGTGCCCCAACAAAGCGAGCATTGCTTTCCCCCCTGAGGCGCTCCTCCCTGTGCCATGCACTCAGTCTTTAACGGAGCACAGCCAAGTGAGACAGAGACCACTCAGAGAGGATTGCAGCGGCTTGTTCCCACATGCACCACGGAACGCCATGTTGATGGAATCTGAATCCGTCCCGTCTCCTGCCAAAAGCAAAGCAAGGTATTAGAAAATAATCCCTTTCTTTGGCTCACCTGGAAGGCCTAGGTTCTAGGGCAGCCCTGAAGTTGGCATGGGATGAGAATAGCATGGCACCCATGCATCTCCTCACCCACCCCAGCAGCAAAGAGAAAGCAACCCAACCCAGACACCCTGTCTGAGAGTGACACTTTCAGGGATGGTCCCAGTTGGGGGAGAGCCAGGTTCGGATCTCATTACAGGTGACCTCCCAAGGGGAAAAAGGTGGCTTGTGCCCTCATTTCATTATGATGGACAGAGAAAGCCTGAAAAGTTTGGTCAGAGGGGATTCCCTCCCCAAGTACACACACTTGTTTTTCCAAATTAGAACATCAGATTTTACCTACCCTGGGAGGAACATAACGACTGGTGAGCTGGTGAAGTTATAACATTGCAAAAGCATAAAAGGTAAGCACCTGGAGTGGGGAGGAGCATGGGAATTTAGTCAGACCACTTAAACACAGTTGGTGTTTTCAACTCCTCATTTAACTCCAATGGCCAATTAAAATTTTGGAGACAGGACATCTTTGTTAAATATTCAGCAGCCCTCCACCCCTTCCGCTGAGGCAAGAACTGACAGTGCGCATCTCGGAAACCCTCCAAACGCTTCCAGCAAAACAAAGGCAGGACACATTTGGAAAAAAAAAAAAGCAGAAGCACGGTCTTTCTGACGGAAGGGAAGATGGTTTGGATGGCACAATCCAATTCCTTACAGCATAAAGATCAAAAAGGGAGCAAAACCCCATCCCTAGCCCCTTTTAAAAAAAATCCTTTGTATCCTAAGGGGTGGAGCCTCCCACTGCCAAACGAGTGAAGATTTGGCCAATTTCCGCAGTCTCAGAGCGGGCTTGTGTCTGTTGGCCCCAGCCCTGGAGCGGCTGCTTTATATACACACCGCCTGCCCGCCACAAATGCGCACCTGGCTAGAGAGATGCCGGGTTAGCTGGGATTTGATGCCGGTGTGTGGCCACAAGCCGGCGGAAACGAGCAGCTGCCTAGCTCCAAGTCTCACATCTGGGAGAAAGGGCTAACTAGCAAGGCACCCAGGGCAGCCCCAGGCAGAATGACCTGTGCACAGCCAGCCAAGGCACTGCACAACGAAGCTTTACGAAAACCCTGAATTCTGCTCTCGGAGAGCTGGAGTGACTGGCTCTCAGCTTCCCAACAAGCCCAGCTCACCTTGGCAGTGCTGCAGGGGCGTTATGCAAAGGGCAAACTGTTCCTGAACAAGTTCTTCAGCGTATCAGGCCCCAATGGGCTTTTCTCCAATGTCCAGCAAGTGCCTCATCCTCCGTCCAGCTGTTTTCCTCCTTGGACCGAGGCCGAATCCAAGAGAAAGCAGGAGCCACAACGATGTTCAAATTCCCTTCTGGGAGAGGTTCCCCACCCATACTGCAATGCAGCCTCCTCACCAGGTTTGTTTGTGGCCCATCTGCCCAGTCTTCAGCCCAGCAGCCCCACAGCCATCTGTACCGGCAGCAAGAGGAAAGGAGGAGAGCGCTCCTTGGCTAGAACTTGGGTAGATCCACAGCATGGTACCTTCCACCCCACCTTGCAAGCATGCAGCAGGAATGACTGCAGAAGGTGCCCTGTCTACAGATCGGTGAACTTCAGCCAGAACGTTATGTGCAGGGGAGGTGGGGCTCCTGTAATCTGGACTAAAGCGCCCCATTACCACCCTTCCCCCCACAACCAGACTTTCATTGCCAGACACTGTGGTCAATTACCAACAAGCAGTAACTCTTGAGTTTTCCCAAGGGCTCCACAACCGCGGAAAGCGCCTCAGAATTTAGACTAGGGTTTTCAAAGGAGCCTAAGGGAGTTAGGTGGCCCAATCCCAGTGCAAATTGGACATCCAACTCCCTTTGGCCTTGTCACAGGAGCTTTAGAGTCCAACGAAAGCACATCCACCTCCAAGACCAACAACACTGTTCACAACATAATTGCGAAGCAACACAAGGCCTGAGTTTTCTTACATGAGTGTATATCGGGAGCTACTGCACTGACGTCTGTGGTGTAATACAGGTGTAAACGAAAGAAGAATCAGCCCAGACCGAACAAGCCTGAAGGTAGGACTCAATCAGCAGAGGGGAGGAGATTAAAATCATCTTTTAGAAAGGACAAGATCTATGAGGAAAGAAAGTCCTTCCAGTAAATTTAACTTCAGGTGGGTTGGAATGAGACGAGGGCAATTTTCTGTGTCACACAGACAAAGTCAGCCGCTGGACAAAGCGCCACAGATTTTTTCCAGTGCGCTTAAAAGACAAGAGCCCTCAGGCTTTCACTCACTTTCCCCATCCCGCACGGCTGTAGCTTTGTGTTACTGCTCGGGTACAGAGGGGGTGGAATTGCATCACGGTTACACTGGGCTTAGCCTGGAGAAAGTAGTTTACCGGTGAAGCGTCTGCTCTGTAACAAAAAGCAAAGCAACTCCCCACCCATCTAGGGGACGAAGGTAAAACATGCACCTGTGTGAAGCCAGGAAGTTACACTTAGGGCTACCTACGTTTTTAACACAATCCAACAAGCTGGGGCAACCACCTCCACTCGGCAGCCAGCCTGGACAGGTGTAGGGGACAACACAAAGTGCAAGGCCCTGGGCATCAGGTCTCCAGAGCACAGCCATTTGGAGAGTTCAAACCCACCCCTTTTGCTACCTCACCTGGGCTTGCCTTTGTGCCCATTAACCTGTCACAGGTGACTTTAGCTGATTTCCTTGCATCCAGCCCTGGGGCTTATCAGACTGCTGACAGCCCCAAACTGGGCTCTAATTAGCACCAAGGAGAAGGGAATATAAAGGGAGAAGAAGAGCTAGAGGGATGTGGCAGTAGGAAGAGAAAGTAATGATCATCCTCTGTTTATAAAGTGCCTTTCCTGGATTCACTCAGACTGAAAAGTGGCCACCTCTGGGGTGGAACATGGCAGCTGTTTAAAACCATACAACAGTTTAAGGCAAGAAATAAAGAAGGCCATATTCAGCTGACACTGCCGAGGGAACTTAGTAACAGAAAATAATTACCCAGGCTCAGGTGGGTGGATGCTCTTCCTCTTACAGACAGTATGAGGGGCTCTTCAGTGATCACAACTCATGGCAGGGGGGCAGTTTTCCAAAGGGTGCAGAGAGGAAGAGCAGGATAAAGCAAAGGGGCAAGGGAGACTTTGCAGCTGGATCAGAAGAGCTTTGGCTGGTTCTGTGTAGAAAACGAACAGGTGCTGTTTCTGTCCCCACCCGCAACCTGCTTTCCTTGCCGCTGACCACCCCTTCTTTGAGAGTGGAGCCCAGAGCCCCAGTGTGAATTAGAAGTGCTAAGTAAGTAACATGACCTGAGAGCAGTCTCTGGGGAAGCAGGCTAGGCTGAGAGCAGGCCTGTTCTCACAGAAGCATAGATCCTCCTGGCCTTTCAGGTTCTGGAGACCCCTCCTACCCAAGCCATGTATATCACAGAGGATGCTTGTCTGCAGAGTCCACTGTGTTTATCAAAAAATAGAAGGGGGGACCAAGTCACCCAGTGATGTCAGAACTCCAGGAAAGAACTGGTCTGAACAAGTGAGAATGTTCATCCATGCCCACAGCTGGGCAACGACAGGCATAGAATAGAAACAGTCTTTCTATGACAGGTTTCAGAGTAACAGCCGTGTTAGTCTGTATTCGCAAAAAGAAAAGGAGTACTTGTGGCACCTTAGAGACTAACCAATTTATTTGAGCATAAGCTTTCGTGAGCTACAGCTGACTTCATCGGATGCATACCATGGAAACTGCAGCAGACTTCATATACACACAGAGATCATGAAACAATACCTCCTCCCACCCCACTGTCCTGCTGGTAATAGCTTATCTAAAGTGATCATCAAGTTGGGCCATTTCCAGCACAAATCCAGGTTTTCTCACCCTCCACCCCCCCCCCACACAAACTCACTCTCCTGCTGGTAATAGAGTCTATACACAGTTTGCACAGATGCAGCGCTTGCCATCGGCTGGCTCTTAGAGCCTTTTTCCAGCACCAGTCGGTTTCCACAATACCTCGGTGATGTATGTATTATTATTGTCAGACCATTTTACAGACGAGTAAACTGAGGCACTGTAAAACCAGCCTCAAACAAAAGGAAAAGAACACCAGAGCCCAGTCTGACTCCCACTCCTCTGCACTAACCACGGGATAACACTGTAATGCTCCCTCTCCTGCAGCATTTCTGCTCAAAATAATTCTGAGTCAAATGGGCAAGCTGAGCTTTTCAAAGTGAATTTGCTCCACTTCAGTTCATCAGGAAACAAGCCACAGAGATTTCTATTGGTTAAATGCATTTTGATTAGCAATAATTCACTTATAATGGGCATTTTTATGGCACTAATCCCCATAGAACGTTAATGAATGGTGTCTCCCATCCTTTGCATGATTTTTCAGGGGCGAAAGCCCTGCTCTTCAATGGGATCCAGGTGCCTAAATACCTTTGTGGCTCTCTGCCTAAGTGACTTGCCACGGTGACATGAAGTTTGTGGTAGAACTGGGTGGGGCTAGAACTCATATAATACATGTTCCAGACTTAGCTCCAAATCACATGCCTTCCTGTAGTATTTGAAACCTGAATGACCCAGAGGATTGTTGACAGGGAACTGGAGAGAGTCTTTCTTCACTAGGTCCTGCTAGAAGTAGGTCTGAAGCAAAACCCAGGCCTGAACCCTACTAAATTTGCAGGCATGTGGATCTGTTTTGTCCTCTTTCTAGATGTCTCTGAGTTCAACTAGGGCAGGACAGATAATACCTTCTAAAAGGAGCCTCCCAAGGCTCTGTATGGTAACAGGAGATCATTCTAATAATTACCAAGCTGGTTTAGGCCAATTAAAATCCTCAGGCGAACACAAATGCCTTTAACTGTGCTTGGACCAGAGAGCGGGAGGGGGGGCTGACCTGGCAGCAGAAAGCAGAGGGGGCACATTAACTAAGGCAGGGGTCTGTGCTTCATCTGTATTTGCGGACATAATAGTCCTGTGGCCAAGGATCATAATGTACAGAGCCGAGTAGAAAGGAAATTGGCCAGAGAGAGTGAGTCAGGGCCATGAAAGGACTTGGGGGTTGCTCAAAGCATTTTTAAACGAATTGGAAACTTCAGAGGGAGCCAACGAGGTGAATGAAGCACGGGGGAAGTAGACTCAGAATGCTCCGAGCCGATGAGGAACCATCTTGCAGAACTGCTGACCAGCTGTGGCTTCCGGACAGCGTGTGCCGAGAGCCGGAGCAACGCCAATCAATCCACAAAGGCACAAACGAGCAGAACGGAGGCAGCTGAGGTGAGAAAGTGGCTTGATAGCCTGGTTAGCTTTGTCCATTGATCAAAGATCTCATTAGTGGGCTTAGAGCAGAGAAAAGGAATCCTGGAAGTCTAAATTCTATTCCCAGCTCTGCCACACCCTCACAGCCATGCTCTGTGCCTCAGTTTCCCCTTCTGCAAAACAAACATCATAAGGATGCTCCCCTTCGTCTCCAGGGTGTCATGAGGCTGGTTTGTGAAGTGCTTTGAGATTTGCTGAACATCTCGGCAACTTATATGTATCTATGGAAATTATTATGCAATCATCTGACTTGGGTTGGGATTCATATTTTGACGGGGTGGGTGGGAGGGAGTGCGAAAAAGGAGCCTAGATGTCAGGTGGGAACAGCTCAGCATTCACCATTTTTGAAGTGCCCAGCTGTGTCTTTCATGCTGCTAGGGAGGGAGCCAAGAGCTGCTGCCACTTGGAGCTGTGGAGAAAGCCAAATAAAGCCAGGTATTGTTAGCCCAGGATAGGTGAGCAGGCCGGTGAGACAGGACGGAACCCAGCGGGAGCACGTAACCACTGTGCTGAAAGGGGCCCGCCCAGCCCAAGCCTGAGAAAGCGCCACCTCATAGCTCCACTGAGTCCGATCTTGTGAATATTCTGGTCTTGCACGTGAAACCCAATGAGACAAAGGCCAATAAAATTATCATGGTAAACATCAGTATTGCATCATGGCTGCATTTCTTAGCTTTCCCTTCAGTCTGCAGGTGTTACTCGTGGAAGAAGTGCTGGGTAGTGGTTAGAACAGGGGCTGGTTCTGTTCCCTGGCCTGCCACTGGCTCACTACATTACCTTAAGCGAGTCATTTAACCTCTCTGTCCCTCACCTTATACTTGGCTGTAAAATGAGTATGTTGATGGAAGAGGAGGGCTGTATGTGCACCATTGCCCTCTACTGAACAGAATCAGAACTGCGCAACTGTGTGTCATGTACCCTGCACTGCTGACAGCTAATGAAGGTTCTCCCGATGGAAACTGTGTTTTATCCCAGCTGTTGCCATGTTGTTCTAAGTGGCCGTGTTGGATGCAGCAAAGCAACCACCATGAATTCCTAGCCGGCCATAGATCTATTGCAATATAACAGCACCTGACCCAACAGAGCGTTTGGGAGACTTAATCAATGTTCGTAAAAAACTTGAAGCTCTTCAGGGCCTTTAAACAAGTGCAAGGTGTTATTGTCCGGGGCACGTACTGGAAGAAGCAGAAGTTAAAAATGTATTGCAAAGAGATAGGAAGCATTATTAAAATTGTCCTATGAGCAGCTGCAAAGGGATCAGCTGGGTTGTCAGATAGACCTGAACAGAACAAAATGAAAGCTTGTACGTTCCATCCTTTCCCCTGCATTGGGAGATTAAATTAAAACTTTATAAAAAGTTCCCTTGGCTCAGTCAGTTTTAACAGCACTAACAGCAGCCATTCACACACGCTCCTCGTATTACTGGGCTTGGTCTGTGCGTTTGCTGGCATAAAACACTCATCCTACCTCCTGTGTACCAACAGTGCCCCCCAGTGACCACTCTGCTGTACTTCTAGCAGGAGTTGTTTCCTGACACTCCACCTTTAAACACCGATTTCATGCCCCATGAAACTCAAGTCCTCAGGCTTTAATCCATGATTAATTATAGGGTAGACTTCTAAAACTTTCTCTTACTCTAGATGAGGCTTTACAAACAACGTCACGTGATTTACAGAATACTGCTTTCCAGTCTATATAAAATCCACTATCTGCTATTTTAAAGCGACACTAGCTTGTTCATTTCAGATTTGTTTGCAGAAGAGTAAACCCAGGGTTGTGAGTTCAATCCTTGAGGGGGCCATTTGGGATCTGGGGCAAAAATTGGGGGTTGGGTCCTGCTTTGAGCAGGGGGTTGGACTAGATGACCTCCTGAGGTCCCTTCCGACCCTGAAATTCTGTGAGGCACAGTAGCACCAGCAAGAGCTTGAGTAAGTGAGGGCTTTAAGTCATTGCTGCTGGTCTGGACACAGTCCTAAAAGGCTGGGGCAGCCTGGAAGAGTGTCATGTTCCTATTTCACTTGCTTAAAGAGCATATGGCTCAAGCGAGAGGAATATATGTTTACTTGCAGTATGTTATTCAGCCAGTAAATATCTCCATGGTCAAGCATTCCAGACAGTGGAGAATCAGGTAAACAAGAGAAACAAAGCCGGCCCTCAAAGTGTGTGGAAGCCTTCATGTCTCTAGTGAGAGCTGTTTTCTTTAATAAATACTCCTGATGAATGTAATTCCACAAAGCATGACTGCCAGAGAACAAGCCTGGAGAGGGGTCCCACAGGTGGAGTCTAATATTTGTACTTTGAAAGACCACTAGGAAACTAAAGTTCCTATTTTTAAAATGATTCCTTACCTCTTAGTGGCTAGGTACTTGGTAATGATCATTTTAAAATTCAGGTTATTTATAGGAGAAACTCGAATGAAACCAACTTCCTTCTTGTGAACTGGTAGGGAGTTTTTAGGTGGTAATAATTTCTGACCACACAATGGTGCTTAAAATAATGCAGCAGCACCCTACCCATATGCTCCCATCCATTGGACATTTTTTGCCAAAAAAACCTCAGCATAAGGTGGCCCCATTGCCTGGTTTGTCAATCACACACACACACCCCCGCCCACCATATGCAGAGACTGGGTGGGCACGGTATTTCTCAGAACTTTGGCACGATAAAGATGGTGACAGTCCCCGTGACTGTTGCTAAGCAGTGTTGGTTTGTTTTTTAAGTGCTTGTGGTGGCTTAATACATCCCAGAATGACAGACATCAGACAAGCAGAGGAAACGCAGCCAGCTGCTGGAAGGAGGGTGCTTTATGGGGGCAGGGCAACTGTACATCACAGCAAATTTTGCAAGTAACGTTTATGATGGGGCCAGAAGACTGTAAGGAAGGGAGGGATTGCACAGCCATCTCGCTGCCTCCCTTTCAGAGAGTTAATATTCCCCATCTCCTGTACAAAACTCATGTGGCACAGGAACTATGCCAAACTAGGCCTAGGGCTCAAGCTGCTGGAGCCTTGTAAGCAGATGGGCTTAGCAGCCATTATTTCTACCAGCATAGCACCCAAGAAGCCAGTCAGGTTTAGTCTACATCTAAAATGTTTTACTGCTATCATAATGGGGTGAGATCTGTGTGTGCACCCACATAGCTATGCTGGAAAAAACCTTCATGGAGACAGTTATACCACTATACGGGATTTATAACAGTATAACTTATTTTGCTTCAGCAAATGCTACATTAGCAAAAGAATTTTTATAGACACTGGCATAACTGCATCCATTTTTTTTTTTTATGTCTAGGAGCAGAAAGGGACCCATAAGCACAGAAGGGAAAGAGTTATTTTAAACGATCAGTTGAGTTGGGGGTAGCAAAGGCATTACAGTACAGTGGTTAAAAAATGGATATTAAAAGTGTTTTTAAATACAACGGCTGAGCTGACTTCACTGTTTAAACATCTTCTCCCCTCCTCCCCAGCCCTTCTCTGCTTTACCTTTCCCCTGGCAGCAGCAAGGATTTGGACTCTGGCCCCACCCACCTACAGCTGATGCCCACCAAAAGAAGAGGGTGGATTCCTACTACTGCTGCTACACAACAGGGCTCTCCTGCACCTAGAATTGCTCCGCTCCCGTCCCAGGGCTGCCGGCAATTTTTACCGGGGGAAGGGGTGGGCTAGACTTAAAAATAAAGTATTTGCTGTTGAAGGTCACTTTAGTGAGTAGTTTTGTAGCATGATTAAAGTTGTCCACTTTTAATAAAGCTTCTGTTCCTAACTCACTGTTTCCTTGGTTACAGCAACCCCCTGCATTTGGGGGAGCCACCCCCCCACCACCACAGGTGAGGGTCACCAGTCTCCCAGAGGGGACCTGGGCTAAAGACTGTTAGTGCACAGGACTGGAGCTAACAAATGGTAATCCATAGACCTTGTTCAATTAACGATCAGGCCCTAGCCAGGGGATGCCATTGGAAGAGGAGGAGCTGGACCTGCTGGCAGTGAGGTGCAGCTGTCCCGCCCAACACCCACATGCCCCAGCTTTGCGATCGCATCAGACTTTAGAATGCAGCTGGCTTGACAGAACGCAGAGTCAGCTGGAGAGCCGAGGTGGGGCTGGGGAAAGAAGTGGGGTGTGAACCCTACAAATCATTTGCCAAGAGTCTATGATCTAAGCTAGTGTCTTGATAGATGTCCCTCCACATCCCATACCTGCCAGGCACGCCCAACACTAGCACAAGAGCCATAAGACCAGCCAACTGAGAGTGTTCTCAGAGCACTGATCCAGGCAGTCTTAGGGCACAGCAGTTAATAGCAATTTGCATGGTAAAAAGAAATCCTCAACTTCTCTGGAAGCCCTACACTGTGTAAGGCCCATGCACCCCCGTGCCTCACATAGGAAAGTCCTTCGCTGCCATCAGGACTCACAACGCAAAGCTTAAGCCACAGGAGTGGTTTTCCTACCATTCGGGTGTATTTCAGTTGTCGCTGGTCTGCAGCCTTTAAGGCACCCTGAGAGCCACCCACTAAGTTAGGGAATCTCCTGACATGGGAGGGGCTTTACTGTGTGGAAAGCTACATGGAACACCCTGCCTGCAAACTGCCAGGAGGTCTTCTTGGCTGGAGTGTGACCTGCCTCACATTCTGCCAGCTAATTTTCCATATGTGGTAGCACACCCCGTGTCATACTGCAAGGAAGAGATCTCATTTGATTGGGGAATGGCACAGTTCTGGAATAGCTCTTACCCCTGGTGACATTTTACAATGTCATGATTAAAGACACTAGTAGAACAATGAGAAGAGTGACATCATATGTGGAACAATGCAATGCACCTGGCTGGCTCTGTGTAGGTAGAAGAGCTCAGATTAATTTGAAATCCAGGGAAAAAACTAGATACTCTTTACAAGTAAGTGGTTTCCATACAAGTTAAAAGTCGGTGGCCTCTGCACGAATTTCACCACAGAAGTGTGAGTGGGAGCGCCAAGGAGCTAAGCAATATTTCTTTGGCAAAAATCAAATGAGCATCACTGCCACGTGTCTAACCCACAATGGCACCTGGGAACCAACTAGCCAGATTAGAAAAACCCACTAAGCTTTAGAGCAGTGACGAATGAGGCTTCAGTCTAGAGCACCACCCCTCCAAAACAGCAATCACCACAACCTTGAATCTTACACCTGCACATGGCTGCATAGCCTAAAACCGGTATATAAAAAGAGTGGGCAGCATACATCTCAACCTGTGCAGCATGTGAGAACTCATTTCTACTCAGTGAACCCGAGCAAATGAACCCATCCCATCCCAGTTTAAAACAGGATGAATAGGACCTACTGCAAATCGCTGCCAGTTTTCCCAGATTAGCATTAGCCTCCTGAATGGGAGTCAACTTCAGCCAGTGTAGATCTATTTAGTAAGCCCCTCTCCATAAACCTTGAGTGGCACAGGTTGTTAAATACTGACATTTTCCTTTATACACCAGTTATTTCTACACATGTAAACCTTGTTTGCTTTAAAGGATTATTCATTACAGTGCCTTTTTCTTTTAGAATTCTCTCAACACCTTCTAGGTGGAGAGAGACTATGTGGGCAGACGAAAGGACTCTTCAGGGGATTAGCCACCAGGTATTCTTCATCCCTGCCAGGCTGGAAATAGCAAAAAAGAGAGGTCTCAGACCATGCCAGCCCCAGGCCAACAAATGTTCTTTGAATGTTTTGTATTTCCAATGCTAGGACTGAACTGGTTTTATCCTCATCTCAGGTCTTGATGCAGGAAGTGTGAGCCGTGGCAATACAGCTCAATAGCCTCTGAGTATTTTGTGCCTCTCTCAAGATAGTTCGGAATCAGGTATTTTATCCAACTCTGCATCTCCTTTCTAGGATCCTGCTAATGGACCCAGAGCAAGTCTGATCCCTAAGCAGAGTCAGGTACCAGTGGGAATCACCCTTCTGTAAGAGACTGGCACTTCAGGCTTCAGCAGCATCATTCTGGTTTGTTTTACTATCATCTTGAAGGAGTGGTGTTGTTTCGGAAGACTGAGGTGGTTCAGTCTGTGGGTCTGGCTCTCGTGGGCTCTTCTCTCTGGCGTTTCTCTGAATAAATAAAAGCAAGGACAGGTGACTCAGGATGCAGCTAGACACCAGCATTGGTCATCACATAAGCCAGTGACTAAAGATTTACAGGCTACTTGACAGTATGTTCAGCACTGGAATTTGTCACCATGTAAAGACTCCAGACTAATCTGTAGTTTAATGACACCCAGAAAGGGAGAGCAAGCTGCTCCCCGACATGTCCCATTCAGAGACCAGAAACGTGATGTTTATTAATCCACAGCTACTGTCCTCTCAAGAGCAGCAATGAACCCTGGGATGAAGTAAACGCTTAAGAGCACCAACACGTGGTCCATTTTATCACAGAACATTCTACACAGGTTTCTAAACAAAGCCAGGATGAAATAAAGCTGAAGAATGAACTACAGGTTCCAAGAGGGGTGTAAAATTGGCCTTTACTACAATAGTATCTCAGACAGTAAATACATCAGGCATTCTAGATCAATACATTACCCCAGCAGCCTACAGCACTTAGTCCATTCCTGGGCTGTTCCATCCTGCCAGTGAAAGTTTAGTGCAAAAAGCCTTTTGAATATACAAACAAGCCGTATGGCAACTTAACCCAAAAAGCTTTCCAAAGTAAGCATCATGCATGAGAACAGCGTGACCTGGTGACTCATTCTTTAGAAGGTGGTTGACCTACTTTTCTGTAATAAATGAAGAGCAATCCTAATATATGTGAGTATGAAATAGTCAGACTGGTAATACTGGGACACATCTGTCAGTATTCTTTAAGTGTAAAGATCAGAAGCAATAAAACCCTCTATTTTGCCTAATGAGAGAAGTATTCTCAGCTCCATGTGGGTGCTCCATATTTGTACAGAGCTCTGACTGTGACCTCATGGAATCCCAGCAGATGCCCCTCCCAAGAGATTTTTACCCCAAGTTAGGTTAAGCAATCTCAGGCTGCTCAACCTGGAAAGCACTTAAGCATATGTGTTAGACTCCCTTGTAGGAAGGGCTCCTTTCTTGATTATAGGGCCTTTAACTGGAGTATGTCTCTCGATCCACAAAGCGAGCACACATTTAAAAGGCTGAACAGCTCAACACCTTGATATAGAATCTAAAAATATTTAGCAGGTGCCAAGAAAGTTTTAGTCAATCCATTTCTAAATCACGGCTTTGAAAAGTGTTGCCTAGTCTCTCCTGGTGTTGGCTGTATCTGTTAACACTAAGAAGACTGGCGAATAACAAGTTTTGGTCTCCAAATTCATTTTCAGATTTAGCCAAAGTGAGGGAGGTCCACAGGTGTCACCCAGACTCTTGTATGTCATTGCTGATTTTACACCCTTCCCCCCCCCATGCCCCAGCAAGCAAAAGTTCTTACAGATGATAGGACCTCACCTCCATGCCAACTGTCACATCTAGCCAACATTGCACCCATCTCCAGGGCTGCAGATCATGCTTCACATCAATCTACCAAGAAGGGGGTTTGAAAGAAGAGTTACCTGCACCTTCTCTCCCCAACACCTAATGAAGTGTGATCTAAATGCATGCAATATTCCCATTTCCTAGTTTAAACCCAAAGCAAGCTTATTGCCATGAAGCACGAATAAAGTTTACCAAGAGGGCGTATTTTACACGTGAACATTGAGCACTTCAATTTGACAGCAGATTTAAGCAACATTTCAGCAGATTTATCATCAAGTTAGTATTGTTTAGAGAAGAGGAGTTTTACCTTTACTGGGTACCCACCTACAGGCTGGCTTCCTGCAGCACCATCCCCTTAACTGGAGTCAGCCGTTTTTCGGACAAGGCCTGGTTGGCCTCTTTAGTCTTTTTATTGCTACTCCAAAATAAAAAGCATTTTTCCTAGAAGATAATCAGGCTAGTTTATGTTGTATTTTAAAAGACATTTGGAAGAGGTTTCACTTGAAAAAGGGCAGCTGTGTTTAAGTTGTAATCATGGTTTGCTTAGTTACTAAATTCTAGTTCTTTACACGGTGTTTAAATTAGAGCTACAACTTTATTAATCTTCTTAAAATAATCTGTACCAAGCCATCTTTAAAATGGTCTGTTCACATTTCAGACCCTTTAGAGACTTCTAATGAAATGTAAAAGGGTTTGTTCAGTGGATTGGGATTGTCGCACACAGTCAGCTGCAGGTAAGCTCTACTGTGATTGTGCAAGGGAGGATTTTTTTATTTTTTTTAAAAAGCTTTTGTTTGGATTGGTAGGACAGACAGACACCATTTTAAATTGGCTCAAGTTATAATCCAGAATCTAACTTTGCATTTAAGAGACTATTTAACATTTTCCAGTATCTCACTGAGGTTGAGTTTAAGCAACAGTGCTCCCTCTAGAAAGCTGCTCTGGGAAATGAAGTACATTTTATATGCAGTTGCAAGAATTTAGGAAGATTTCATAATGGATCACAGATGGATTTAGAGCCTTTGCCTTAGCTCTAAAATGCTGAAGAGCATTCTGGCTCTTCAGAGGGAGGACTGTTGTTGATTAAGCAATCTATTAAGAGCTGATCATTAACCCTTCACTAGATCAAGAATACACCTTAAATGCAGCATTTATTTTGACCTGTGTTGCAGTTTGTATTATGCATCTATTGATCACTATAGAGTTACATAATCCTAAATGCTCAGCAACATTCCCCTACAGATTTATAGGGCCACTTCCAGGTTCTCTGCTGTGATTTTTGTTAACTCACTTTTTAGCGAATAAGAAGAAAGTTTCCTGAAGTTGCATTTGGTTGTATAGCACCAATATAGGCTCAGTTGTGGCTTAGCTGGCAACACTACTTAGCTCACCAATGGATAATTGCAAGTGCCTTGTGCCTAGGATTCTCTTTTGCAGATCGGTATTCAGTTTGTTACCAGAGGCCTCCATTCATGCAACTGGCCAACTGGAGTTTGTTAACCCTGTACTGAATCCCCATTGATTGAGTGCTCCCTGTAGAGGATACCCACGGCTTAGGGTCTGTTGTGGTGTCCCTGTTAAAGCCAACTCCTGCAGAGTGGCCACTGGAAGGAGCTGTGAGCCAGTGTATTTGACAGCAATACACTGGTTGCAATTGCCCTGCATAAACACCCTCCACAGGAAGTTCTTTGGGCTAGTCTTCCCTGCAGAATTAACTTGGGTTCCTTGCTCTGCGCTCACAGCCCCATCTCCATCTAAGGGTGCAGCAGCAGAAGGGTAAAGTCTCAGACCAGTGTAAATGTGGAGTAGCTTCTGGTTTCATAGATTGCAAGGCTAGAGGGGACCACAGATCTAGTTTAACTGCCTATATCACACAGGCCATAGAACTGCCCCAAAATATTTCCTTTCAAACTACAGCATCTTCCAAAAAAAAAAAAAAAAAAATCCAGCCTTGATTTAAAGGATGCCAGGAATTGAGAACCCACCCACAACCCTTGTTACAATTTCCTATGGTTAATTACACTCATTGTTAAAGAACAATCAAAGTCAACATGTGGTTCCCACTTTATGACAAGGAACAACAGCACTTTGCTTTTCACATAATGGAGCTCGCTACTAACAGGTCAGTCACTTGGGCAATAGTTTTGATCATCATTTATCCCAGCTAATTTACTAATCTAAATCACTTCAGAGAACCATCAAGTGAATCAAACACTAGTGAATCAGTTTCAGTATACAGTAAATGGCTTAGCTTTAAGATTACACACACACCCAGTATTCCTTCGGAATTGTTCATCCACGCTCACTTTGCAACAAAGGGATTTGGAAATAATATGCCAAAATCAATTATGCTGCGGTGTGGCCTGGTTTAAATCCAATTATTTACTACTTGGAAAACCTGGGCAACTAGTTAAAATGGGTTTGAATATCAGCAGTTAAGATAAGTGGGATAAGGAAAAGCTAGCCATTTCTTTAGTGTATGCATAAGTCATGATTGTTTCAAGGATTTAAGGACTGGAGGGTAAAGTATGATCTGCTTTGGGCATCTGTTGCGCTAACATTGCGGATATCTCAATCACAGGCGAGTTGAGCCAAAGCAACGAGTTTTAAGCCAGATTCAAATGAGCTAGTTGGGAGGAGTATGTACACACACGCGACTTGCTGGTCAATAACCAGGAGGCTGTTTTAAAGCACACATGGACTATTTGGAGTCTTTTCAGGTGCACATTTTGGGGCCAAAGCTGAAAGACGTCACTATCAACGGTTTGTTTTTAAAGCTTTTTTTGCATCTCTTCTCCTGCATTATCCTCATGTTGCACAGCAATCCTCAAGATTACTCCAGCACAGTAAGGGAGTGAGACTGCCCCATAATGCCGCTATAAGTCCCAAAGCCACTCATGTTGAAGTGCCCTATATGCTGCACTCTGAGTAAACAGCACAGATTCTCAACACACCTTGATGATCTTCCCTAAGCCCTGGTCTACACTTGGGGGGAGAAGAATCGATCTAAGTTACGCAACTTCAGCTACAGCTATGTGAATAACGTAGCTGAAATCGACATACTTAGATCGACTTACAGTGGCGTCTTCACCGCAGTGACTCGACTGCTGCTCCCCCGTCAACTCCGCCTCTCGCAGCGCTGGAGTATAGGAGTCGACAGGAGAGCACTCAGGAGTCAATTTATGGTGTCTAGTCTAGACACGATAAATTGATCCCTGCTGGCTCGATCGCTTCCCGCCAATCTGGCAGGTAGTGAAGACATACCCTAAGACAAAGGGCACCAGAAAGTTTTCCTGCCTTAAGTGTACCTGGGAGGAACTACTGCAAGTGTACACTGGTTAACAGACTTCTTAGGAACTTAGGAGCTGGCTTGAGTCACTAAGGCCTGGTCTACACTACAGTTAGATCGCCGTAAGCTGCCTTGCATTGACTTAACTACGTCCGGGTCTACACTACAGCCTTGTCCCACCCACGTAAGTGCCTTACTACACCAGCAAAACTATTCCACCTATATGAGAGGCTTACTTCGGTGCAGTTAGGATGACACAGTGTCTGTGTAAACACTAACTTACATGGGTTGGCCCCTGCTCCCAGTCAGGAATGGAGCGGTGGGGAGGGTAGCCTATCAGGAGCTGGTGGGCTCTCAGCTCCCCTCACTGCCCCTCTTAGGTTGGTGGAAGTGCTCCTGGTGAGAATGCGCACCACCAACCCAAGGAAGGTAGAGTGGACATGCACAACTAGTAATTACTGTGGTGGCTGCAAGTCGACCTAACAAACTTCAGTGTAGAACTATCCTAAAGTTGCTAAATGCAGCAGAAACCAGCAATGGATTCTGAAGTCTAGAATCTGAACTACTGTCATACTGCTGCCTTTGGTACTGGGGGGAGAATAGGAATCAGGGTTCCAGGAAAGAAGAGGGAGAAAGCAGCTTACCCTCTTCTTGCTAGCTTGCTGCATTGAACACAGTGAGCTCCTGGCCCTGTTCCAGACTATTTTACCCACTGCAAAGGATCACAGCCCCTACAGAAAGTATTTGCAGTCCAGACTGCTATGTGGTTTAGCAAACCCCACTGCGAAGGCACTGAGTGATCTTAAATAGAGATGTCAGTCAGCGCTAAGAAGCAGCTAGGCAAGGGAATATCTTTTATTGGACCAACTTCTGTTAGGAAGAGAGACAGACAAGCTTTTGACCTTGAAGTCACCTGAAGCAGAGCTCCGTGGGAGCTTGAAAGCTGGTGTGTGTCTCTCTCAGCAACAGAAGTTGGCCCAATAAAAGATATTACCTCACCCACCTTCTCTGGCTAATATCCTGGGACCAACTGCCACGACACCATGTATAATAAGCCAGACTTCTGGAGAGTAAGCTTGGGGTTTAGCTAGTGAAAGGAACTGTTCATATACTTTGAGCCATTCAAGCAATAATTAACAAGCATCAGTGGCTACTTCCATGCTTGCTCTGGTCAGACCCAAAAAAAAGGGGAGAGTGACCTTCCCACACCTATCACATGGCAGAAATAGCTTGTAGGAACATTGAGGAGGAATTTGGAGGCAGGGCTGGAAGATACAAAACAAAGACGCCTCATTGGTCTTAGAGTGTCAGCCCAAAAGACCCACTCATTTATTGAAGTCTTTCAGGTGTTAAGAGTTAGAAGTGAGCAGAGGTGAGCAATGCCCCCTAGTGCCTACTTCGCAGCAGGGCGTGTGACCATCAAGCTATGACATCTTACTTAAAAGATCAGCAATCTTACATTGGATTAAGTAGCACTACAAGTGAAAAATCAGAAATTTCTGGATTAGGTTGAAAGTTGGCATCAGTTGATTAAGTCAGGAGTTTTGCCGTTTGCTTTTTCCTACCTGTCTCTTCACCTCCAGTACAATGGCAGCAACAATCAAAGCGACGCCCAGACCGATGCAGATATATTGCACGTACTCCAGCACAGATGGGATCAGAACCAGGTTGGTGTAGAACTGCTTTAAGACTGAACCTTCAATGGCTCCGCTCTGCCCAGAAGAGAGTAGTTTTCAGTGGCAGTTTCACAGCACAGAGACTCTGTATTAGTGGTGTCCCCACTGCCTCTAAAGCCTGGCTTGGAAAACTTATTTCGGTATATAGAGGAATTCAGGGAAGCGTAAGACGTTAACAGACCACAAGGAAATAAATGCTAGTCTTTAAAACAGAAGCTGCCAGAAGGAGGAAACAGAAACAGAAGGAACTTGTACTACAAGTAGTATTCCTGGTGGTAAGAAATGCCTAGACAGCAGGGTCTAAAGTGTTTGGGCCAGGGACAATCGCGTTTTATTCATTTCGTTAAGTGACAAATACCCAGCATGCTCTTCTAGCTTGTACAGCTGGTAGGTATTTGCCCATCTGTGTTAACTTGGGAGACCTAGACCAAGAAGTTAAGATAGAATATCACCGATGCTTTCTAAACGCATACGGAAGTGGACAGAAGAGTTTAATGGCTCAAATTGCAAGTCTGAGTCAGGAAGAGATTAAGTGTGCAGCCAAATGTTGAACAAAGTGTTTCTAATCCATTTATGCAAAGTTACCAGTTAAGAACTGTGCAGCTTAGACCCCTACTCCAGTTGAAGTTTCTCCAGTAGAGACATGTAACGCTGCCCTTCTAGTCCCTTCCCACACTGCTGCTCATCACAAGCCATCTACTTCTTCCAGTTGCCCCTAAATTTCCTCCTCTGCAGTACAGACTTTGCATGGTTAACGTTACTTTTCCAACCAAGAGGAGGAAATCCAACTCACCTCTGCAAACCAAAGTATAGGCAAGACAACTGGCTTGATCTGTCCCGTTTGACTGAACAGAAAGAAAAGTTCACACTTATATTTATAATCACACAGTCAATCTACACAGACCAGCATTATACTCCAATGGTTTCTAAGGAGCTGGTCAGTTTTTACTAGACATTTCAAAATTTTACAGGCATGAAGACAATGCAAAGAGTTGGTAATTTCCCCCGCCCCTCCCATTTCAGTGAATTCTTTCTATGCAATATTAGGTCTGATTAAACTTCACAGATGCAAACTTTAAAGTTGTTAGTTTTTAGGAGAAGAACTTGAATTTTAGTTGATGTTTAATAAGTAGTCAGCATTTCCCAGATATCACTGTAGTATCTGAAATACCACTGTTCTTCCCTTAGAATTCCCATAAGAATCACTTTCCAAGCATTGAGTTTAATGGGAACCTCTGTGCTTAATCCAAGAGTAGTTGTAATGCATTCTGGTAACCTATGGAGTACTGGAAGTGTAGGTAATAGTGTTGCTGTCTCAGGTAATTGTTAGAGGCTGGAATAAAACTGGTCGAGAGAGAGCAAGTTTACCTCCTCCTACAAGAGCAAGTAACCTACTGCTCCAAGTACTATAGCACCAGATTTTAAGAGCTCAGAACCCAGTTTGGAAGTCTGACCACTTGTTTTGATACTTGAGTGGTAGGAGCATGCTTTTGGAAGGCTGACTGCAATTGTGAGCACACAGCATTTTAGGAATCTGACCCAGGGAGTCTACTTTGAATTTTCGTTTGCAACAGGGCCATCAGAACACAGACTATTGCACAACTAGGCACTGCTACATTCCAAGCTCTTAGCCTAACATCAGCCTGCGGCTTTATGTCTACCCTAGAAATGCTTTGCCAGTGTATCTCCCAGCATGGATGCAACTGTAAAAGCAAAACTGCACTTTGCACCAGTATAGAAACCACCCCCTCCCCAAGTGAAACAAGCTACACTAGTAAGAGTACAGTTTTGCCAGTATAAACACATCTGCACTTGGAGTTCTGATAGCATAGCTGTGTCAGGGTTCACACCTCTTCACACTCCTGACCAACACAGCCATGTTGATAGGAGTCCAGTGTAGACATAGCCATGAACTGGTACAGAGGTGTCATCCACACAAATAGCTAAAGAAGAAAGCCAATTGAAGAGGCATATATCTGCATATGGTGTGTTAAAAAGAGAAAAACCACGTAGAGCTTGTCTGTTCATGAGCTCAGCTGAGCAGTAAGATACCAAATGTCTTTCTCTCAGACAGAGAAGGCACTATGCTTTGTGAGGTATGTTTATGACAATATCTTGACAAGTTGAGGTTTAACAACTGATATGAAACTGAGGAATGGGATTAGACTGAACAGATTGTACTACAGTAGAGCTGTTTCTTTGGAGCCCGAAGAATTATAACAAAGAAGCTATTCAAACAGCATTACATTTGTGAAGTTAGTCTCCTTAACTTTCAAGCATGTAAGCCACATGCCCCTTGGACATCCTCAGAGCAAGCTACTTACCTTATGCCAGAGACTTTCTTCATATACAGACTCAGTTGCAGCTTGATGGAGCAGTTCATTGGAATTCCTGTGACCTGCATTAGAACAGGAAACCAAGCACTTCTCAGCAATACCTCCTGGTGTTCATGTAGAGGAAAGCGCTTCAAAAAAACGACTAACAGAGAATTGCAACATGTGAAAGCACACAGTGTATACAAAAGAGGCGAGGGAAGGCGACCAGAAAGAGGGTAAACGGCTCTGAGGAAGACCTTGTCTTAGGAGGCAAACTGTATCATTGCTTTTCACTTTGAGCCTGGGCTACGGGGAGTGCTTAAGCAGAGACAAAGAGGTGTGGCAGTCGAGTCAAGATTCAGAAGACAGAACAGTTGTCTAGGAAGATCGTAACAGCCTCTTCTGGGAAATCTGATCTGTTAGCAGAAGAACTCTGCTTTCAGAAGATACTTGAAAGGGTCCTCCAAGGTGGGCAACCAAACCATTCCTCAAATCACAAGACAAGACCAAAAACAAAAGCTGGCACATAAGAACGGCTGCTATTCTAACAGAGAAACACTAGGTGGAGCTGTAGCAGACCAATATTTTCAAGTTAGCACACAGCAACTCTAGAAGGCCAAATAACTGACTTACACTCTAGCACTCAAAGGCCTAAAGGCAAGCTGGAACAATCAAAAAATCGGGCATTTCTATCCTAGTGTAACTTATGAAGATAGTTTTAGTGCCACTTCAGCTTGCTTTGAAGTTTAAGAGCATGAGGATATTGCCCTGCAGACAACTAAGTGTCAAGGTGGTAAGAGGCACAAAAAGCGAATGCCCACCCACACAATGTTTCATTCTTTGATTCAAGCAGTTTACTCACATTACTTCCACAGTTGTGCTAACATCCATGAGGATGATTGACAGGTGTCTGGCTACAAACTGTTGCAATATCAAAACATCTGTCAAAATGATGTTACTATGGAGAGTTAAAGCTAACAAGATTAAGGCTTTAGCACGATTGCAACATCACTACAGCTTCCTGTTTAAGAGTATTATGCTACCCATACACTATTTAATATCTTCCCCACCATCCCCAGCCTCTCTCACTCCTCTGCTACTAACCTTCAATAGCTTTGTGGTGCAAAGCGACGAACGGTTTGTGAATTGTGCAGTACTGAGGTTTTATCTCTACAGTTCATGTTTATTACAGCTATTTTAATTAAGCCTTTATTGCCATGGACTTTATTTTATGATCTACACAGATTAGCAAGTAATTGGGGGCGGAGGGTGGAGAATTAATCTTTACCTTTTAAAGAGCCAAAGTACACTTACCTCAGCCCAATATTGTAAAAACATGGCGTGCTTAGCTCTAGAACATCTATTACCCCTCCTTATCCCTGCAGATTGACAAGACATTTGCATGAGAGCTATTGTTTTGGTTGTTTATTTTAAGCCTGTGCATTCGTCTATAGGCAGGCTTAAAACAGCTCTACAAGTGATATCTAGAAGTCAGAACACAGCCCCTTAATGTGTTCAAGATTGCTTCATTGCCCTGCAACCCAACCTCTGGTAAGAGCACCACTGCACTCTCTGCAGGTCCCATGGCTGCTGGTCAGGAGGAAATCCTTAAATTGCATTCTCTGGAGCTTACAAAAAAAACCCACCACACTTTACTGAGTGTGCCTTGGGTGCTTGTTACCTGGGGAAACCCTATAAAATACAGGATCCAGAACAGCAGCTAGACTTTAGGATGGTCCTGGTAGCCTACCAAGCTGGAGGTGCCACGTCTACATTGGAAGTGGAAGAGAAACAGGTGAGAAATAGAACAGTCACAAGAGAAGCCAGCCAAAAGCTAGTAACCAGAAGGGAACAGAATAAGGAAGATAACCTTCTGGGGGTAAAGTTTTGGATACAAAATTTAAGATTTAGGATAGGCTTGTCCAAAAGTGTGTTGAAAGGGGTCCAATAGCAATAAGTGCAGGATGCAGAAAAAGTATTTATTCCTCCCTTTTTTTAATGACAGCAGCCTGTCAGGAAGTCACTGACAGTTCTAGCTGTTGCACAATCACTTGGAAGTGTGCCCTGTTTGTACATTTGCGTATGCTACTGGGCTACTTCTCACAGCATCAAATGGCTTTGCTCTGTAACTTCATGGATAGCATTCCTGTTTGCACTACAGAGCAGAGTCTTACTGCCAGATACTAAGGAAAAGGAAGACATTTCACCCACTACAATAGGTTAGCGGTCAGCTCCAGATAAGTATTTCCTCCAGGATTAGCTGGTGCTCTTGTAAGACCTGTATGTTGTCTTGACAGACCGTGCAAGAGAACAGCTAAGTTCTGACTAGATACAGCAAAGTGCAGGATCTTGGTGAGGTTCGATGTGCAGTGAGGAACGGGGGAGGGTTTGAACCTCATTTATTCTATTTCTTTAGCACATATTAGACTTTTATTCACTAATTTTGAAAAGCCCCTTAGCAGGGTGAGAAGTCATTCCCAGCGGGGCAATTAAGCCAGAGCCATCAACGCAATTATGCTGGTGCTGTGTCTATCTGGCACGCTGTATTTTGCAATTCTCTGGAAGTAGATCAGAAAGTTTTAATTATGGTTTTACAGCCATTTTATCTAAACACATCTCAGCAATAACCATTTAAAATCCTTGTACTATGGAACCTAGTCTTGTGGCAGCAGTTTTAGTGCCAGAGCGTGAGGAAGTTGACGGGCAGCCAACGTGCGGCTCTGTTGAGAGCCTACGCTGAAAATGACAGGTTTCAGAGTAGCAGCCCTGTTAGTCTGTATTCGCTAAAAGAAAAGGAGCACTTGTGGCACCTTAGAGTGGAAAAACATTCACTGAATGCATCCGATGAAGTGAGCTGTAGCTCACGAAAGCTTGTGCTCAAATAACTTGGTTAGTCTCTAAGGTGCCACTAGTCCTCCTTTTCTTTTTACACTGAAAATAACATTCCCAGACACCTCATTGTGCAGAGCCTAGACAGAAAAGCATCTAGAGTCTCACTCTCTCAAGAAACAGCCTGCGTGAGACTTGAAGCTAGCTCACCGGATGAACGTCAAGGAAGAGCCCATGCTGCTCCTTATTGGGATGTAATCCATCGACGGCTTCCACCAATACAGGGTCAGCATTGTAGAAGTGCGGGTGGGATATGAACACTGGTGCATCTGAACAGAGTTAAGTCACATTAGAGGGTTTGCACGAATGTGCTTATTTATAGGAGTTACTGGCTAAAGAAATGCCAACATGAGATCTTTCGTGTTGCAAGCCAGATCCTTGAGGGTCTGCTTCCCCCTGCCCCCAGCAGCTCATCACCCCATGCCCCAGATTTGGGCAGAATGACATCAGACCTAAGCCTACTTTGGCAGATGAGCGTGAAGGAAGGAGATTTCCATACCTTCCCCAGCAGTTTATTCCATTGCTTAGTGAAGCTTAAAATTTCTTAATACTTAACCTACTTTTTCCCTGCTGCAGCTTAATCCTACTACTTCTCACTATCCATGCTGATTTAATAACTCATCTGTATTGTCCAGCATCTTCTATGCCTTTGGAGATCATGAAGCCAGAGGTGTCACAAAACTGACAGGGGCCTTCTGTTCTCCAGAGCAACAGCTGAAAGGTGATTGGGCTTCAGTTTAGCTTCTTCACACCCATGGGTAATTGTGCGTGCCCAACTGATACATCTCTCTTCCCAATTGTGCTTAACTATTTCCCCTCCATATCAGGTTAGATATGTACAACTTGACTATACGACAAAAACCTTGCATGAAAATTTATCCGTCCTTACTGCTAATCCCCTGGAGATGCTCAGGATACAACGAAGGGGCTTTTGTATAGCCTATGGACCCATGCCATCTCTGTACACAGCACAAGCCAAGAGTAAAAGGCTTGGTTCTGGAGGGCAACATTCACTGGGTTCTTGTTATGATCTGGATATTAGCAGGTTTAAAACCAGATTACATGGGCTACAAGCATTGCCAGAGGTGGCATGCCAAAAGATAGTCTGTACAGCCCATCAACAGTGGTACAATCTCAAATTAAGACCTGTTGACTATTTTTCTTGGGCCATCAGGCAAGGCAACAGCCTAGAATGATTTTTATTTTTATTTTTTTTAAAAAAAAGCAGTAGAAGTAGAACTGTGCCCGTTTTATAAATTATTAGAGCTCCAGCATAACTGCTTGGAGCAAAAACCAAGCATCTTGTCCCCTATTTTCAATAAGCTTTAGAGATCTACATTTGTCGTCATTCTAAAGTGACTGCCAATATCCTAAAACCAGTTCTTGATTTTTTATTTTTTTTTTTTGGTTTGCTTTACAGCTTCAGGCCCTACTCCCCACTTCCTTACACCTTACTTTACTTACACTGGGGGCACAGCATGGGGAAAAGTGCTACACAGTCAGAATTCCCCAGACATGCTGCCATTGGTAACTAGTTGTATTACTTAAACAGTAGCAAGACCACAAAGAGATTTGCCTCAAGGGAGTGATGGGAGAACTACTGCTTATGGCTTGAGATTAGCCTAGCCAACACAGTAGAGTAGCCTAGGGTGCATTCCCCGCAATGCAAAGGGAATGGACTGTGTTTCAAAATAGCTCTGTCTCCAGCTGCTATTGGACAGACACTGACGTACAAGACTCACTCATTCGACAGGTGCTGACATTCTGGATTCCAGATTCCCTGCAGGGGCAGAAGCCTTCATTTGGAGGATAATCTGTTCCGTTGGCAAATAAAGTCTTCGGAGCCACAAATCGATAGGTTGGCACCCCTTTAAATACTCCAGACTGCTCATACACTAGCTTCATGGATCTAGAGGGATTACAGTGAAATATCAGAGAGAAGGAAACAGCTCTTCTTACAGATAACTAAGGGGTGCAGATGAGCTGCTTTGTGGTGTCACTAAACTATTTGATGGGCCATATCTGCTCTCCCTTGTTTAGTCTCAAGTTTAAGAGAAGGCTCTCACCCCTGTTGCATCTGGGGCATTTCTATCAGGGGTCCTAAGCAGTGGCACAAACAAACAAGTCTATGGGGCACTCTGGTAAGAGGGGAATCAGGAAAGAATACATTGCTGCACTCAAGGAAAGTGAAGAGGGATGCAGAGAAGATTCCATGCCCCCTTCCTCATGTAGTTTCACCCAGGTCTCTAGGAGTCGGAGTCCTTCCAGTGGCAGGGCTCCTCTCTTGTCTGGTTCTGAGTACTGCTATCCCAGAACATGTTACTGACCTCTTGACTGGAGACCAAGTACTTAACCCTGCATTCTCCCTTCTAGGAAGCCAAGCTTTTTCTCCTGCAGGAAAGGCAGGTGATCCTTACAGACAGCAGCCTGCAAGGTTCATATAAATACCATGCCAGGCACTGGGGAAACATTCTGTATAGGCGTGGTGTTAATTTCAGTTTGTAAGAGCATGAGAACAAGGCAAGGGGACTGAACTGGAAGTGACCAATGTCATTTCCTTAGTGGGACCCACAGCACTATGACTTGACTGGAGTACTTGAGACTCCACAGGCTTCCATATGCGGAGCGATCTATTTATTCGGAGGGGAGTGGCGACCGCTGCGTGGCATGGAGCTCCAAGAGAAACGGATGGTTACTTTGGCCTGCAGGATATTGCTCATCCTTGGAAGATGACCTTCTGCTTTGTTAGAGAAAGAGAAGGCCAACAAATTATCCTTGCTTGATTCTCACAACCCAAGTCTTGGGACTCTTAATTACTAGGGTGCCCAACCCTGTGACCTTAGCACTAAGTTCTCTTGGTATTGCTTAATGCCTTCTGCACACACAGATGTTACGTTTCTCTTGTAAGACGGCCTTTGGCTTAGTGAGCTAGTTTGCATGGTAACTGGGAAAAAGTTAAAAAATCCAAACATTTTCAATTCTGTTTGCTGTCATAGCAAGAACTTGTTTTGCATTGCAACGGCTACCTAGTAACGCAATTAGCATAGTAGACCAGTGCAGACTCATTTTTTGAGAGCAGCAGATCTTTTGATGGTAAGACGTGCCCAATCAGACAAACAACTGCACTCTGAATATTTGAGATCACTTCAGAACTCCACCTTGAACACTGGATGGTAGCTGAAGTTTAGTTCTACAAATCAGTGTTATTTTAGAGGACAGGTGAGTTATAATGAAAATAGCTATTTAACTAAGCAAGACCATACATCTTCCACCCACTTGCATCCTAAAGCTGAAGACTTTGCACTTCCAGTCATGTGGATAGACATGCAGCATATAAGACAATGTAAGCTAATCTTACCGGCAGGCATCAGGACTATAAAACTCTAGAGAAGAGGAAGGGGTCATGAAAGGAGGCCACATCTCTCCAGAAGTCCCATTGATCATGTTACACTCATCAGACCGCCAGTAATTCAACTGCAAGAAAAGTTGAAAGAGGAATTTAAAAGCCAGACTGACAACTACGTTAGCCAAACAGCCAAGCTAACAGTTTCCTCTACATTTTAGCCCTAAGTTATTCGCTTGTTCTTCATCCTCCACTTCAAAAATAGTCTTCCAGCAGTTCTACCTGGTGAGCAACAGAGCAGTTCAAAGAAGTCTAGAGAGCTCAAACTAAAAAGAGACCCTTCAAAAGAGTGTTATGTAAACCTTGTCTCCCATCCAACACCAAGAGGAAGTCCATTCCCTCAACATTTAAGGACTTTAGCCCCAGGCAGGTGGCCTGTAACCTGAGCCCTGCCACTCAGGGCTGAACCCCTCAGCCGTGGGCAACGAGGTTCGGACTTTGGCCCTGGGCCCCAGCAAGCCTAAGCCACCCTTGGCGACCCCATTAAAACAGGATCCCAACCCACTTTGGGTTCCTAACCCACAATTTGTGAACCCATCTTAGACCTTTGTCTAGCATCAGGCACCATTTTAGCTTCAGAAAAAAAATTGGTCAGCCATAAAAAGAGCTCTTGACTTGGTTAGCAGAATGATGTTAGGCAAAGAGGTGTCTTTTTAGAAAGCTAGAGTTGCTTCCTAGAAAGCAAGGGTACATTTACCTTTTTTAATCCATTCCATGTATCCACAATGTGGATTTGATTGATGTCTGTGGCCCCTGTATACACTGTGAACATTCCTGTATTCGAGTTGTTAAACTGTACAAAAGAAAGAAGAACAACAACTTCCCTGGACCCATCCTATGCAGCAAGATGACAGCATGTGGCAGCATCGCTACATTCCTAAGCTTAGTTCTAGGGACACTTTCTGAAGACTAACCAGGTTAGTAAAGACTTTGCTGACTAACTCCTTTGAGGTATGCCTAGGGACATTTTAAGTTCCTCTCCTGCTGGGGCAATGCTGCCTAGCATTTAGAGAAGGGGAATAGGAGTCAGGACTCCAGGGTTCCATCCCCAATCTTGGCACAGACTTACTATGGGACCTCAAGCAAGACTGTGCATCAGGTCCCCTATATGCAAGACACAGATAATGTGGTACAGGAATATGGGAGGCTAAATGAACTACTGTTTCAATGCTTTGATGCAGGGTTCCAAGCAGTGTAGACGTGAACACAGCAATACTTAACCCATCTCTTTCAAGAAGCTATGAGATCCGTGGCCTTGTGGGCAACATTCACCTGCATGAACAATCCTATGTTGGCAGAGGGGTAGCCTAAGAGTTGGTTTTAAAGTTACCAAGCACGGGTTTACTTACATCCACAAATAAGCCAAACTTCCCCTTGAAAGGGATCAAACCAGGCACAAAATTGTTCAGCACATCTATAAGAGGGTCGTCATAGCCCCACATGATCTCTCCCACGGTTCGGTTCATAAAAGCGCCCTGTCCCAAGCCAGCCAGTGCGCCACTTATTAACATCTTCAAAAATTGAGGTAACGTCTCCAGCATAACAGCTGCCCCCTAGGGTAGAGAGAGAGATTCAGACAGGGAATACCAGGATGCCATTTGGTATAGGAAGTGAATGGTAACAAGTAACAAGGGAAAGTGGGTGTCAGCTCCATTGTTTGGCCAGCTGGTCTGAAGCTCCAGGATGGATTCCTCAAGCCAGAGAGTTTCCCCCACCTCGAGCCTTTTGCTGTTACCTCCCACTGCAAGCACAGGATACACAGGAATAATTTCTGCTTCGAGTTCTGCTAAATTCTCATTCAAACCCCATGTGACCCCTAGTTTTACATGGTCACAAGCTAAATTCAACCCAGGTTAGCTAAGGTTAGAGAACCAAAGCCAGCATTCCCCACCCCCACATCAATTCCCTGGAAACACTTGTTTGGTTTTTAGAAAAAAACAAAACCCAGTGACACTCAGCAATCACATTGTAACAAGGTCACCAATCATCACAATCCAAGGTACTTTCAGGAGTCCTCTGTGGAGGAGGCCCAACTCCTCCAGGGACAGTTTGAAGTGCTATGGGGACGCTTTCAGTACATGCTCCAGTACCACGTGGTGTGAGTAGAGGCTCTTTTATTGTCCAAGAGCTTTGCTGAAGAGAGACTTGATGCTTGCTTCCCCCCATCCCCCAGCTGCTTTACCTCAGCGCTGGCTGCAACACACCATTGGTTTAATACAATAATATCCCTCATCTGCTTGAGAACTGAGCCTGCCCCCCAAAAACATACCCCATTCTGGACACTTTCCTAGTTGCCTAAATAGCTCACTCCTGCGAAAGGGTGGAGGTAAACACCCCCCTCCCTCACTTCCCCCAAGTTTTGGAAGTAGGGATGAACAGGGCAGTATTTTCTGAGGTGGACTGCTCAATTCTGGGTTTTGTGGCTGCCCCCCTCCATCATCGGTGTCTTGACTGAATGCCTTTATACCTGTATGGAGCCACATTTTGCTCAATCACCCCTCCTGCTTACCCAAGAGCGGGTAATTACCACTGTGCAAAGCTATCAAAACTCCCCCAAAAAGAAACAAGTTCCCCATGTCCTGTAGGCCAGTGCTTCTCAAGCTCTCTGATGTGGGGGACCAGCAATTTCCCCCCACCCCCAATGTACGCGCAGACCAGCAGCCGATGGCTCCAGTCTGCGGCACCAGTCCGTGGACCACCATTTTGAGCAGCACTGCTGTAGGCCACAGCAGCCATATGGAGCCGGTCCTTGCTTAAGTCTAGTGTCTATCGTCTAAGCAGGGGAATGCACAGCCTTTGCCAGGCAGGCTGGCAGAGTGTCATTTTAGGGTACTGCAGCAGAGTAACTCCCAACCCCTGCAGACACAAGAGTAAGTAAAACCCCTCCGGAGTTTAAAGTAGTCTTACCATCACAAGGATGTTTGGCACAACAATGTAATCCTCTTCCATCCCGTGAGACAGGTCTGGCTGGAAGTAAAACCTCCGGTATTCCAGGAAGGAAACTGTACCATTATCATGGAACGTTATATTGGTTTTAAACCTGTACTCTCTATTTAAAAAAAAAACAAAAAAAAATAAACCCACCAGGCATAAGTAGTCATTGGGGGACTTTCTCCAACAACTCCAGATTACATATCTCCCACCCCCATGCTGCAGGAGTCAGAGTAAAGCTCACACAACATGCTAAGGTTTTGCTAGCACATCACTAGTGCCCTTTCAGTTCTGGCTTCATTAACTCCATGGCTGAAGTTGCTATTAGGTTCTCTTCTGCAAAAGGAGTAGGTGCTTATCCGGCACTTCATGACATATTCTGTAGGAACCATTTCAAGAGATTTGGCTTTGGGATGGGGAGTCTGGGATGAGATTTGTGGTGGGAATATAGCCATTATAAGTGGCCACCTCTCTGCTGTTCTCAGTCTGATATAAAAGAGCAGTCCTGAAGCACTTCTTGAATTGCAGAAAGCCAGCTCTAGTACAATCCTGCGCAGAAGAGTGAAAAGCAGAGGGGAGGAGGCAGGATATGTAGCAGAGAAGACAAACAGGAAGCCAGAGTGAAATGCAACATAAAGGAAGGGAGTCATCTGGGGAACAGAAAGTAAAATCAGGCCAAGAATTGAGATGAAGAGCAGAGTGCCTGGCTACTTGATTTAACACCCTTTGCTAGTGGAGAGATTCTGTTGCTAGCAGACAGGGATCTGAAAGATCAGTGCATTCTGGGAAACACTGGAACCCATCTATGGCAGCAGCTATTTGTTATTAGTAGCTAGTTACCTTCCAAACCAGTTGACAATCAAATGCAAACTGCTTGTGTGACTTGAATATCGTCCCCTCCCCCAATCTGAGAAAAGAACAGAGTTGTCTACTACCAGTTTGCACAAATTCAGCAAATCACAGCTATTAACAAGGGGCAGGAATGCACAACCCTACTCACTGGGGAGCCCAACAGAAAGGAGACAGGATGGTAAGAGTTAATCTCCCCACGCCGCCCCAAGGCAGATATCAACCCAACATCTAGCACATCCAACTGGCAGAATTCCCATGCGGATTTAAGTTAAGATCCGGGATTCAATTCAAGGTTCATGTGGCAAATACAGTACAGTAGACCTGCTCCCCTGAGGCTGGGAGTTTTTAGTTTGTGACACAAAGTGTGCACGTTGTGGGATTCTGGAGAACTAGCTAATTATGCCGCTTTGAATCAGTGGAAGCCCAAAAGAAAGCCTCGTATTGTGTGAGCCAGGTAAGAATAGAGACCCAATAATTACAGCAGAGAAAGGACAAGAGTCTTGATTAATCCTAATCTGCTGGAACACACACTTATATTAAGCAGCTTTGCCTTTATTCAGTTTGTAGGCTCATAATAAACCTACTCAAAACTGAAAGCATGTTAAGATATCTCAACCTACAGGTGATCAACATGGCTTTAGCAGAGTGCTGACTTGCCCGTTCGGACGGCAACGCCAATGTGTATATACAGTCACGCTCCCAAATCCTACCCAACCAAAAAGGGATTAAAGAGAGCTAATCTTCCCACACAATCTTTCTTGGTCTACTGAACTGACTTTGGGTACAAGTTTGTGTCAGGGACATCTGGTAAGATTACTGTTAACAAATGGAAGGCCATCTGGTCTAATGCCTCCCCCTGCAAACGCACCAAAGCCAAGATTTTCAAAAAGTTACTGATTTTTGGATGTACTCCTTAACATTTCTGCTCCCTTTAAAAAAGGCCAGATTTCAGAGGACAGGTGCCTGGTACTTTTGGAAAAAGTCAGGCTTATTAAGAGCGAGTGAGTGAGTGTAAGGGGTGCACCTCAATTTGGCAACCAAAATATTGGCCTGAAGTATTACAGCTGGAGTTTAAAAAAAGAAAAGTCGTTCTTTCAGACTTCAGTTTTTACTGTGCATTTTTCTCCTGTGCCTCCTAGCTGCTCTCTTGTTTGCTCAGCTCTGCTTACAACCTTGATCATCTTAGCTAGCTCTGTTTTAATTGACAGCCATGAGCTGGAGGATTAAAAGACGACTTAAACTGTTCCCTGTCCTGCCTTGTCTGGGTTCAGTGATGTATGAGACAGAAGCCCTGGCATGGATTTCAACTATTCTTCCCCCTGGATCTGCATCACTCAGCCCCACGTAAACCTTCACCAAGCTGGAGCAGAACTTCAGGAATAAAAGTCTAACAGTGAACCCTTCATTTTGGCTCAGCTTGTATGAAGGGGATTCTGCCAATAGCAATACTAGACCTGTAAACATAAGGCCCACGCTGATTCACCACTGGCTTGGCTCCCAGACGAATCTCTGTTGGATTCATCACCTCAAAGAAGAAGGCTGACAGGTAAAAAGGAACAGGAACGTCTTTCCACATACTGAAGGCGATGCTATTGGGGTCAATCCTCACATTCTGTAAGAGAAAGCAGACATTTGGGCTAGGCTTTATCACACCTGTATTGTTCCCTCTCACAGAAGACAGTGATTTTACTGTCATTGATGCAATGGACTCGTTACGGAGCAGCTTTTAAAGTGTACAAGACAAAACAGACAAGCGATCCTTACACTGGTCATACTAAGGGCTAAACTGGAAGAAGGCTCTTCATATGCTGAACTTTTTTTTTTGGCACAGTTAAAGCCCCCTTGTGAACCTGGGAGCTCGGTCTTTTATCAAATTCCTTTAGTGAGAACTAACTTTATTAAAAAGTAGAGCAGGTTAAGAAGATGCAGACAGCCTGGCCTTCGAGGGTATTTGGGGCGGAGCTGCTCCATTTTGCACGATGAGGTGCTTGTTTTGGATTTGAACTAGTGGTCACTGCGCTACCAGCTTCAGCACATGCAGGTACAGTGGGCTCAGCTTGATACACGGAGCTGGCTTCTCCAGTCACTTTAACAAGAGCATGCTGACTCACACTCAGTGTTCACACCACACTTTTCACACACATGCTAAATGCAGACACGGTCTTTGATCAAGCCAGCAATGGAGGGTAGAATCTTGTTCAAACTAATTTTCCTCACACCAACCATTCTCTGCCCTGAAGCGCTTACAGTCTAATGCAACCAAGGACAAATCACAACACAGATGAGTGCATGGGATAGCCAAGCTCTGGGAAACCTTTGCATACAGGAAAGGAGTACTTGTGGCACCTTAGAGACTAACCAATTTATTTGAGCATGAGCTTTCGTGAGCCACAGCTCACTTCATCAGGGCTGTTCCAGACCTAGGGAAGGAGAGACAGCATGAACTAAAGCATATGCTGAGAGCAGCGGAAGTAAACAGAGTGGCCAGGACAGGTGCTCAGGTGGCACAAACAGAACAGGAAACTCTGAGTTTTGCCATAAGCAGCTTTGTCTAAGACAGTAATTTGAGCGGCCACAACATGCTTCCCTTTAATCTGCCTGTATTCGAGCTGCAACAAGCTATCCAGGTTGAAGCCTGATAAGAATCTAGCAGAATCCTCATTCCAATGAGAATGGAAGGCAATTTAAGGCAATTTTTTTCTCAAATTCCATAGCCACAGCAGGATACAAGACCCTAAAAAGATTCTTTGGAAAGCCAGAGAGAGCACCTCTATCTCTGGATTCAACTTGGCTACGTTTGTTTGTACAACTGCACTGCCCCAGAAAAGCCTGCTCATTGGAGGTACAGATGTCAGCAGCACTGACAAGAGCAATACAGGCTTGGAGGAGGGAGATAATATTGATCCTGCAGGCTGATCTACATGAGGCCCACTGACCCCCGAAGAACCCTACCTGCATGGATCGAGACTATTTCGCTACTAATGTGTAATGGGATCGCCCTGGGGATGCAGCTGGGACTGTGGGACCGCTGTGCCCCCTTAATGCTCTCCAGCCGGGGCTGTCTCTCAATACCTAGCTAATGACCAGCAGCAAACCCCTCCAGGCGCTGTGATCACTCAACACAAAAGCATGGGGAGCCCCACACCTGGCTATACTGCACGAATGCTCCCAGAGCCACTCAATCACAGAGAAAGGCACCAGAACCAAATCCTCCCAGCACTGTACCTCAGGTCTTGCACTGCTCAAGCTGGGCAGTGCAGGTTTATTAATTGTTTCACCACTTCAGTAACGGGAAGTTGACATACACCAGCCTGTGCCAGACCTGAGCAGATCTGCCCCACGCTTCATACAAACGCACTGGTAAAGATAAACAGTAAAACAAATTTATTGACTACAAAAGTGATAGGCAAAAGTCAGAGTGAGTTACCAAAAGAAATAAAACATAAGCATGCAGTCTAAACTCTCAGCCCTATTAGACTGGGCAGCAACTAGACTAAGCCTTTTTTCCTCACCCCACTGGATATTTCAGTCCTTAATATACAGGCTTGTTCCTTAAACTTGGGCCAATCTCCTCTGTTGGAGTCTTCAATCTTCTTCAGAGTCCTGGTTGCTTGCAGTGTAGGTGGGGGCAGAAGGGCCCAGTATGTGTCCACTCTGTGTTTTATACCCTCAGTCCAGATGCTTAGAAAACACAAGTCCAGGCATGTCAGGGCATTGCTTAGTCTCCAGGCAAGGTTTAGCAATCCCTTGGTGTGGTCTCATGCAGGCGAGTCATTGAATTGTAGCTCCCTTGCTGGACAATGGCTGTTGATGGGTTGTTTGAAACCCTGCCCGGGCGTTAGTTACTTTCCTTGCTGTTGCCTCTGGGGAGCGAATATCTAGCTGATTCCCCAGCTTACAGCATGTTTTAGTGACAACCATACAACACAATTCTCAACTTCATATGCATTAATGATATACATTATGGATAGAGAAATGACTTTCAGCAGATCATAACCTTTCCCCGGATACCTTACAAGGCATGTTTTATGCAAGCTCACAATTATATAAAAATGAGGAATGTGGGGGTTACAGGATGCTCCTTCAAGGTAAAGCATGTCATAGGTATATCTGGAAAAGGGCACTGGACTCTACTAAGCTGGGGAGGGGGCAGAGGGAACCTTACAGCTTGACGACGGTCAGGGACTCATCTGATATCAAGAGGACATAGCTTGTGGTTTGCAATTGTCAAGTCCTATTTGGCACAAGAGCGTCTTCAAATGGACATCAGTGCATCAGCTTTGGCGTTTCCCCTTCAGCCACTACTCAATCAGGCATAAGCCAGAAGAGAAAGGATACTGCATGAGCTACAAGACTCCGCTTGTTTGTCCTCAGACAAGCAAAATTTCCACTGAATGCATCCGATGAAGTGAGCTGTAGCTCACAAAAGCTTATGCTCAAATAAGTTTGTTAGTCTCTAAGGTGCCACAAGTCCTCCTTTTCTTTCTTCAAAATAAGGAAGAGGAAGAGGGTCTATTAAGTAACATGGCTCAGACAGCAAAAGTGCTGGAGAAAGCAACAAGATTTTAAGCTATTCTAATTGGAGAAGTACTTCCACCAGATCCAGATTACACAGAGCCTTGTGTCCAAGAGCTCCCTCTGATTGTAACCCAAGTCCCAACCTACCATCCAAGGTGGCATGACATGTGCCTAGGCAGCAGGCAGACTCCGACAAGAACGTTCAAGGTCTGGTGTTTCTTTATAAGCATGCATCAAATGAAGAAAGGATCATAGATAGGCGGACAAAGGAAAGATGCCTTGACTGAATATGCCTCCGCTGTGTTAAGGATACCAGGTAATTTTGGTGTAATAAGCAGCATTTCCAGGGCTTTTAATGAGAGATTTTACAAATCCTTAACTCAATAGCCCTGAGACAGGCAAGTTGTCTGGAAATATTCACTGTAGGCCAGCATCTATGTATTAAAATACATATGAAAATAAGGTCCTTGCCCCAAAGATTTTACAAGCCCCAGGCACACAATGTTCAAACTGAAGAGGGACTGGGAATGGAATTTTGCTCTGCTGGATCTGTTAAAATGAACCCAGCCTCTCAACTAGTAAAGTTAGATTTCTTTAAGTCACGAGTATCACTTTTGATATTTGATTTGGTGCCTGTTCAATGGTTAGTTTCATTTGTTTCCTTCCTTTGTAAATAGGTTTAAACTCCATTCAAATGATTAAATAACTCGACACTCTTATGAAACCAGATTAAAGTTGTGTTGATAATCAGTTAAGGAATTTCAGCATGTATCATGCTTTGTGCAGTTTTGTTCTGTGACTGGTCTTTAAAAAGGAAAGCCACATGAAAGGCTCAGAACTCTGCATCCCATTTATGTGAGTTTTACATGACGTCCATTACTAAACTGGATTTAAGATGCTCCGACTATCTGCGTCAGTTATTTAAGAGCAGCATTTTGCAGTGAATATGTAAACAGCTCTAAAGATACCCTACTTTTGCCCCACCAATGCCCATTCACTGTGGTCACCATCATGCACAGGGCTGGCCACAGTATCTTGGGAAGGCTCACGCTAACGCAGTGGGTTCATTTTATAGGGGGTGGGACAGAGGTCATCTTTGGACCACCATCAGCCTCTGAAGGGGCACGAGAAGCAACGCACAGCTGTTTTGAAGGTTCTTCCTTCAGATCAACAGGGACAGGCCCTCCACCAGGTCCCCAGCCAGAAGAAGACTGTGCACATTTGACAAATTGCATTATTCAGATTCTTCCAGTCCCTCCACTATAGAATCCACAGTCACCCGCAATATTAACGTAAGTGCCAGAGACAGCCACCCCATCCTCACCCCTGAGCTTGGAAAGATAGGACATCTGGTAGGAAACGGTGAGCAGAAAGGAGTCACTTGAGTTGGACTTTCTCTTGTCAACCCCCCACTACATCCATTAGCCCTATAAATGGAAGGCAAGAAAGGAATAAAGTGATATTATCCCATGCTTTTATAGTCAATACTTTTCAGTCTCTGAAGAGCAACATCTCCTTTCTTTTCATTTCTGGAATCTTATTCATCCCCTATTCCGTTGTCCACCCTCCCCACCCACTTGTATTCTCCTCCCTTGATCACCCTGTCCTTATCCCACCTGTATACAATCCATAGCACTTAATGCTTCCTGGACACTCACTCTCACAACACCCCCATAGGCAATATCTGATTTTACCTACAGGGATGTCAGAGTCAAGTGACATGAAGGCCAGATGTGACAGAGAGGAGATTAGATGGCAGAAGTCCTCAGGTCTCAGTTCCTGTGGAGCTGCAAAAGGCAGCTTGAGGTGAACTGGCAGATACAGCAGAAAGGCTGTAGTTTGCATTAACCTGGCATTCTATAAAAATACTAGAATCTACTGTTGCTTGTGTACAGCAAAATCATCCAGGCAGCTGGTATTAAAGCCAGCAGCGAGCACTGCTTGAACCATTCACATACCGGATTTTTAGCAAAACAGAGGATTAGCCCTATCAGGGCAATTCACCGAGTCAGGTAGGCTTTGAGACAATTAGCAATAAATTGCCCCTGCAATGTGTACACTTTGGCTACTGACCAGGTGTATTATGAATTCTGG